ATAGTCGTTACAACTATAAATATTGCTGCAATAAAAACATGTTATTCTGCCGGTGTTGGTCTCACTTTATTCAGCGATGAGGGAAGTTTTAGGTAAACTTTGACCTTTTTAAAGCATAAAAATCCAACGACCTCCTACGTTTTCTATTTCATTTCAACTCTAAAACAATATAAAGCTGTGCTGGTGGCATTCTTGATTTTGACTGACACAATTTATTGTCTACTTACGATTTAAAGTTTTGCTACATTTGGAACATTTTTGTGATCTTTGTGTTTATTTATGATGTGAGCATTAATTTAAAGCCTGCTATGAACAGGCAACAGTTTTGAACAGTAAACTGTCAGCTGTTGAAATACGCAATAAACGTTTTATAAATATATTTTATATGCATACAGTAGTACAACTTAGCTAAATGTTAAATCAAATATCATTTCTGAAAGGCTTTTGCACCAGAATGAGCAAAACTAAGTTAATAAATTGAGTACTTGTATTGAAAAAATCAACTGAGATTAAAAAAAAATTACAATTTATGAACATTTATGCCAGCTACTTTAGTAACTTTTCCAACTCTGACTTGTACTTCAACATTAAAGAATGATGATATGAATGTAAGGGAACTTCCTTTCAGTAAGAACACGACGACGGGAAGTCGTTTATAAAATACTTGAAGATGATACCAAATTTCAAAACCTGCTTGTTCACTGTGTGACAGCAGAAAAGATAAATATATTCCATCATTTACCTTTTTACTGAGGAAGTCGTACTGTCTGCCAGCAAACTATACACAGAATTTGATAATTTAACTTTAACATAAGAAACAAAGTGACTGGAGACAAAAATAAAAAGTGTTGGTGAACTGATGACATGTTCAGTGCAGTGACTTCAACGTGTGCATCAATTTGTATAAAACTACTTTATTAGTGTTATGTTTGATGTGTGAATAGAACTGAAGAAAATAAAATTGTAAAATCAAATAGTTTTTGAGGAGGAATCGTTTCATCTTGTTACTTCTGATGCCATGAGAGTACAACCAATTATTACTCAGGAAGAAGTACTTTCTTATTTTCTAGTTTCAACATTTAAGTCCAAATGTTGGAAATCAAGTTAAAATCTATTCCAAAAATAAAGTCCAAATGATGAGAATGAATGTTATTTTTTAATTTAAAGAGGATCAGAACACATAATATGCAGCAGGATTTTACACTTTGGGTAAGTTTTATTAAGAAAATGATTTGTTTTTGTGCATTAACTCCTGGAAGTCCCTTTAACTTATGACAGTTGATGTTCCTTCGGGGAAAATCGACCACCTTATTTAACAGCTTTAAAATATATACCGTGTTTTCCGGCGTATAAGTCGCATGAGTCCAAAAATGTCTAATAATTTGGAAAATCCATAAATAAGTCACTTCATTGTATAAGTCTCATCTATTACGCGTCACCGCTGACAACCTGGAAATGTGGACCGGTGTTGTGCCAAAAATCGATTGGCTGCCAAATGATGAATTAGACAGGATTGACCTGTCTAAATAAAGGTTGAATTTAAAAACTGGCAGCCATGGGAGTGTGCACGGTAGGCCTTTAACAAGATTAAGACATTAAAACAATTATTTGTTTGTTTGAAATTATAGTAAAGGTGTGTCTCAGTTGAAATTTTGCTTAATAAATTAATTTTGACGGTCAAATCATCTGTACTTCAAAAGCCAGTACACGGATGTAAGCACGTGCACGGGACAAGTCACTGCAAATTTAACAAAATAAACAACTAAAAACAATTATTTGTTTGCTTGACTTTATAGTAAAGGTGTGTCTCAGTCTAACTTTTCCTTAATAAATGCACTTTGACGGTCAAATCAGCTGCATTTCAAAAATAGATTAATGGAAGTGGGAGCTCGCAGAGGTACGACTCGCTGCGCATTTCTTCGAAATTTAGCAAATAATCACCTAAAATAATTATTTATTAGCTCGACTTTATTGTAAAGGTGTGTCTCAGTTGAACTTTTACTTAAATTAGCTGCATTTTGCTGGGGCAGCGCAGCAAAATGAAATGACAGCATGATCCCAGAGCTAGACGAAGGTGGCCGTCTATGGCAAGCCAACTGTGTCATTAATAGCCACTATTACGACACAACGGCACGCCATACTACTCGAGTCCCATCTAGCAGCTGAAAATGGTAGTGTTCAATATTTTCAATGTCAGAATGAATGAAAACGGTCATATCTCTGCCAAAAACTGGTTTATAAATATGTGTGTGTGTGTGGGGGAGGGACCATAAATAAGTCGCAGGGCATGCAAATTATGCAAAAAAGTTGCACCTTATAGACCGGAAAATACGGTATTTTTCTCCCCTCAATAAACTAGTCAGTTTTTAAAACTATCACAACAGCCTAATACAAAAATATCAATTTTTTAAATTTAACCCTGGATCTTTTGTATTAAAAACAACCCCAAATTTATTTTTTTATTGTTTTATAAATCAACATATATTGATTTTATGTTAATTTTTGAAAAACAAAAAGCCATTTATGCCCATTAGTATGACAAAACTGATTTTTTTAAACAGTTTTATTTTGTTTTCAGTCTGGAGTTTTTTGAAGCACAGCTCCCTTCAGATCTGGCAGCTGAACATGAGGCCTTGTTTTCAGTCAGACTTCCTCCCATCTCAATGTGAAGACATATCTATGACAAATAAACCTAAGTCTAACCTAGTGAGCTGCGGGAGCACCGTGCACCCGCTAATAACGTCCTGCTTTGAGTGAACATCTGATTCTGCAGCCTGCATGCATGTGAAACAGCTGTGTTCAAACTAAATGTTTACTTGTGCACATTACAAGTGAGTTTTTGTTGCAGGTTGAAATTTACCATATAATATTAATAATTTAATTAAAAAATAATAATAAATCAAAGATTTACATATGGTTCCTTCCTCAGACTTAAAAACATTTCTACTTCATTCTAATTTAGTCTCAGTGAATTTTTAACCTCAAAACTGGAAAACTATTGAAGATACTTCCTTCTCAGTTTTGTTTCTTCTGAGTGACCCTAAAACTCTGTTGTGTTAGAAGTTTCAGGTTGCAGTAAGGAATCCATCTGTGTTGATATGTAAAGTGAAAAACTGCTACAAAAACTGGAGCAGACTCCCAAGCTGCAGAAAGAAAAGCTTTGCAGAAAGTGGTGAAGGCTGCACAGAAGTCTGTTGGAGTCAGTCTCCCCACCATCATAGACATCTACACCTCTAGATGCAGGAAGAGAGACACCTGCATCATGAAGGACCCCACTCACCCAGCACACACACTTTTTGCCCTGCTTCCCTCAGGAAGGAGGTTGAGGAGCATTAAGTGTAGAACCACTAGACTGAGGAACAGCTTCTACCCTGAGGCTGTTAGACTCATGAATCTCTGACCAGAATAATCACTGTGAAAAACCACATCATGTTGCTGCTGATCTGTTTCATGTTGCTGCTGATCTGTTTCATGTTGCTGTTGATCTGTTTCATGTTGCTGCTGATCTGTTTCATGTTGCTGCTGTTCTGTTTCATGTTGCTGCTGATCTGTTTCATGTTGCTGCTGATCTGTTTCATGTTGCTGCTGATCTGTTTCATGCTGCTGTGTTCATTCGTGTTCATCTGCTCACACAGACTCATGTTCGTGCTGCTGTTCGGCGTATTGTTATTGTACTTAGTGCTTAGTGTATTTTTAGTTGATGTTTTTCTTAGTTCATATCTTGGATCGTATTACTGTTTTTCTTTTACATTTTATACTTTTGTTGGGTGTAACTGGGACCCTGTGTACACAATTTCGTTCCACCACATGTACCACATGTGAAGCATATGACAAATGAAGAAACTTTGACTTTGACAGAAGCAAAACCTTCAGAAATGAAGCTACAAGTGAAAAGAGGCTGAAAATAACGAAGTTTCAGGAGGACAACGTAAAAGAACCAACAATTAAGTGCAATAAAAAACATTAATGGTAGCTGAACTGGACAACTTTCATCAGTTTTTATAGTTTCAACACTTTGGCTTTCATCTTTTTCATAGCAAACTAAACCTAAAGGACCAACAACAGCGCCAAGACGAGCTGGAATAATGAAACTTGGACTGATTTGAAGTGGTACCAACCTGACTCTGTCTACTTGTAAAGCATGGATACAGAGCCCAAAAAGGCTGCCCATAAATCACAATACTTTATAACAACTGACATGTTTACTGTCTTCTTTCAAGCCATTTAGTGCCATAAAAATCAGGAAACAGATGAAAATGAAGCAGTTTTTGTCATTTTTCTTTTTCAACTATTTTACTTTAATCCATCTTATAATTGTCCTGATTTGAACAGGTGTGAAGGCACAGAGATGGGAAATATTATAATAATAGAACTTGCAAAATAATGCGTGGGTTATTGGTAACTACTGTTAGAAGACGGTATATTTGGATTAGTACAGTTGTTGGAAGGTTGTTTTGTTTTGTTCAACAAATCTTGTTTGCCTTTCCTCAACAGGTCCTAGCTTGACTGGGTCAAAAAGCCACAGGACATCTTGTAAATAAGGCTGGTAAAGCATGACATAACAAGAGACGTTTCAAACGGAGGGACAGGAGCTGCATTTTGTCTTTAGTGACATTTCTTGCACCAGAGGACGCGGCAAACATGACGTCATCTCCAAACAAAATCACACAGACTCGCTCTCCATCACCCACTTCATTAGTAAAAAGTACATTTGTTCTATTTGCACAATTCTATGGTAAATGAGTGGTCATGTTTTCACCCAGTACTGCCAAGTCCACATTCGGGTCCGGGTATCAGATCAGGGAGGACCACAAAGTCCAACTGAGACATCCAGCTGGATCTTTAAGTTTTATAATAAAGTTTCTCTGTAAATGAATTCAATCGATCCGTGCTCTTGTTGAAGCGTGAGAAACTGTCGCAGATGATGCTCCTCAAGTCCATTTGAAGAAAAGCTCCACTGCTCAAGGGACATTTGGGACGTGTTGGTCTTTTTCACCTAAGATGGAAGCGTCTATCCAAGTTTTTACAGAATGCATTTGCATATCCACAGATTTAAGTCTCCTACATATTCCTTGGGTTCAAGACCAGTCCCTCCCATCATGAACACCTGTGCAAACTGGTTTCCATGTGGATCTACAGACTTGTTTCTCTTAGAAACATGGTGCCGATGCTGTAAGAGACTTTCCTCATAGAGGCCGGAGGCGCGGAGCGAGAGCTGGTAAGGGAGGCGTGGCTGTGGGACGTCCCCGCCTCCAGGAAGTAACACGTCCCTGGGATCTCTTTGGGAAAATTATCTGGGAGTTCCTGGCGTGAGCGAGGGACAAAAGAAAAAGAGCGGTCGTCCTTTAACAACCTGTTGAGAAAACAGAAGGAAAACTGACTGAAAAACATGAAACAACAATCTACCAGCATCTCCATTAAAACAACTTTTGTTATTTTAACAATAACAGAGACTAACTGGTTTAGACTGCGTCGTTTATACATCTACAAGCAGACTTGTGTAGGTACTTACTGATATGTTGTCGGACTAACATTGATGCACCTCGGATGACTTCCTGATTCAAACTTGCTGGCTAGAGTCACGTTGTTCCCAAACAGACAGTAGCGTGGCATTTTAACCCCGACCACACCTGCCAGGACTGAACCTGTGTGAATACGGATGCTAGGGTGGGGGGGGGGGGGGGGGGGGGGGGGACAGGAGAGACATGAGAGTGATGACGTGTCAGCCAACTCTTTAAATTGTTTGTGATATTCCTTCTAACTTTTGCACTTT